AAGGATCTCATTTACTTTCCTTGCCCTCATTTAGTAGTAGGCAGACACCAAAGATAATGGGACACAAAAGCCAATAACCATGCTGAGGAATGGGCAGCCCAAAGACTCCCCATTTTTACTCTTTGAAGTTTCCACTCCCAGATCTGGCCCTCACTTGAGAACCACCTTTCAATTTCTCCCCCACCTCTCTACTCAAGCTCTAAAATATACTTCTGGCAAATTTTGTATTCAATTGCAAATTCTCATAATGCTGAAGTTCAATAATCTCTATTCCTTTCCAAGCCATGAGTTTTGTTTCATTCATCTCTAGTGAGTATACTCATTCTTTGGTTATCTCTTTCACTATCTATGCATAATTCAAGTACCTGTTACTGGAGGAGTGACTTTATGCCTGTAATTCATGAATGAAATCTGTCATGATGCAATATTTGCTGGTCAGGATTTCTTCATGAAAGCTATAGTTAGATGCCTAATTAACAAAGAGATGAGACGTTTATGCTTAATGATACATTTCAAATATTACAAATTATTCTTTCTTATCTACTGTTTGGTTTAGAGTAAAGACCAGTTGTAAAAAGGCAGTTGATCATTATATTATTTCTAGAAATTTATTATACACAACTACAATTTAAAAAATACCCTTCGGTAAAAATTTAAAAGAGGGTGATTTATTCTTGGTTCTACATGAATGACATATAATTACTTTATATCAAGTTAAAAGATGACTCTAAATCTGTTTCAGTAGGAATTGTAGTAATTACAGTTTACAGATTAATATGCATATGTTGTGTATTTTACTAGCTAATGTTAATATAGGCTACCTTTTCTCTGAGCCATGGTTTTCGACACTGTTAAAATGAGGTATCTAACTATTACTCAACAGTTTTGTATATGCTCATGATATAGTATGATATGTATGAAATTATAATGGGACATTTAACTACTGAAGTCTGGCAGCTGAAAACACTACTTGCAGACAATGTGGTTTTCTCCATAGAGAACCCAGACTAATTAAGAAGGAAACTGTTTGTCTGATGAAATGTTTTAAAGTGACTCGATAGAAAATGTAAATATGCCAAATATAATAACTTTATAAGTATTAGCCAACTGTAAGTGATAATAAAGTCCATTACAAGAGCAAAAATTATATAATCTAACCAGTATTCACATTAAGAAATGTCTAAGACCCATGAGGAGAAAACTACCCATTTTAAAAAGAAGATAAAGTACTGTAAAATGTGTGGAAAATACAAAAGAAAGAGACATGAGATATTTATGCAAGTTTAAACATGATTTTTATGTGTGACAATTGGCAATCAACAATTTAACTAATGTAACTTTTTTCAAATATGAAAATTCATATTAGGTTTGAGAATGGGGAAGATGATGAGTAGAGAAGAAAAGAGGAGTAGCAGAGGCAAAAGAGAAGAAAATGGGTGGAAAACAACAATCAAGTGAAAGAAGAAACACAGGAAATCCTGGAAGCTACAATGCTGCAGTGGTCCTTTAGATAGAGACTTTATAAAGTTTCATATCATGGCTCATCAAATGTTTCTTAGTTATAGTCTTTCAGTTCTGTAGTTGAAAAAGCAGTATTACCTAAATAATCACATTTATATGGTATATATGTATATATACATATATAATAAAAAAGTGCAATTAAGCCAGCATTATCTGGAAAATTAAACTAGCATTCTAAATTTAATTTGCAGTATTAAATTTGCTTACATTCATGTCCTGTCTAGTGGGTCAAAGGAATAGCTGGAAGTTTCAAAGATTATTTGGTTAGATCTATAGAGTTGCTATAGCATTGTAATCTAATATTTTTCACTCAAGATCAAAGATTACATGTGCTACAAAGTGGAGAGTTATATAGAATAAGAAGTGCAGGTAAAAGAGTAATTGATGAGGAAAGCAGATTCCAGTTCCCAAATCAGTTATATTACTGACCTTGTCTTTTTTTTTTTTTTTTTTTTTTTTTTTTTTTTTTTTTGGACAGGCAGAGTTAGAGAGTGAGAGAGAGAGACAGAGAGAAAAGTCTTCCCTTTTCCGTTGCTTCATCGTCGTGCTGTGCTGATCCGAAGCCAGGAGCCAGGTGCTTCCTCCTGGTCTCCCTTGCGGGTGCAGGGCCCAAGGACCTGGGCCATTCTCCACTGCACTCCTGGGCCACAGCAGAGAGCTGGACTGGAAGAGGAGCAACTGGGACTAGAACCCGGGGTGCCGGCGCCGCAGGTGGAGGATTAGCCTAGTGGGCCGTGGCGCCGGCCAACCTTATCTGTTTTCTATCCTCCAATGGGCCCCTGTTTTCATCTCTGCCAAAATAAAATTTGCACTATAACATCTTGGACAACTTTTACTCTTCTAAAAAATTGTAGGTCTATGACTAATCACCTGATCTATGAAAATCCCATAATTGCTCGTATTAGGGTCAAAATGGTGATCATCAAAAAATATATATTGTTAGAGACCCTCAATGTGATTGCAGAAAGAACTAAACTGCTAAATACCTTAGGCCAGGAAAGAAGTATTAATTAAAATGATCAAGTACTACCCAGAGCACTGGCATCACCCTTTTGAAAGCTCCAGATCTGCACAGCCATTAGATGCATCATCACCAAGCTAGATGAGTCATGGACTGTGTCCCTGAATGAAAAAAGAACAGGAACTTTTTGTGGGCTTATATATTTTTAACATAATTTTGAGGTTAATAAACTAGTACCCTATTTTGGCATAGTTCTGTTGTGACTGGTTTCATTTTTACAAAGAATTGAGACAGCATACTCAACAATTTCAGTCTCAGGACTATGGCTTAGGCAGGCTATTTATAAATATGCATCAAATTACAAATTTTGAAGAAGTCATTTAACATATTTACTTGCTGAATATTATATTAAACCATTGTGTATAAGGAATATTTTTATTTTCAAAATGTTTTCAAAAAATTGAGAATACATTTTATATGTGCCTGCTTTTAAATTCAGAGGAATGCAATTTGTTGCTTCCAACAAAGTAGTTTAAGAAAATTCTGTCCCATGTAGATATGTAGTTAGAAGAGAAGAAGGAATGTTTGGAGGATCTTTCCAAACAATTATAAACATTCTTTGATTCTAGTTTAAAATTTGAGTTTTTCAAATTTTAGTTGTAATGTTGAATCTGGAGCCATATAATAATATTTTTATATTTTCTTTTATTAAAATCCATCAGTCACTATCACATGTTGAATGATTTTTTATCATGTATAATTTTATAGTATCCTGAATTAGCTGTTAATGAAGTATTGGTTCATTTGTTTCACAAAATCATGTGAATGTCTAAATCTTGGCACATTCATCAGATACATTTTCAACTATCCTAATGCTAACACCAGTTTAGTTATAAAAGGCTTCAAGTACTAAGAAGCTGCCGATTTCACAAGGAACTATACTAACTTCAAAATTCTGATTTTCACTAGGGAGCTTTATCATTAAGAGCAAATTGTTATTTTTTCCTTTGAAAGGACACATTCACTCATTAACTTTTCATGAATTGTCTACCAATGACAATTATGTTGAAATAAATGTTTGTCAGTTCCTTTTTATAAAGCAACCATGGTGTGGCATATCAGATAATCATAATTTCAGCTTTCAAGTCAGACACAGAACTTCCCTTGTGGACCACTGTAATGCAACATTTAGTAGAAATGTTTATACATGATTTCTCTCAGCATACTAAAACAATTTGTACTCAAGATTTAATAAGTGATAAATAATTTGTACTACTTCATCAAGTACATTTTTTGGGCTGGAGTTGTGGTCCAGCAGGTTAAGCCACAGTTTATGACATCAGCATACCATATGAGCACTAAAAACCAGCTGCTACAGTTCTGAACTAGCTCCCTGCTAATGCACTTGGGAGAACAGTTGGAAAATGGTCCAAGAACTTGAGCCTTTGCCACCCATGTGGGAGACCTGAATGAACTTCCGGGCTCCTGGCTATAGTCTGGCCCAGCCTGAGACGTTGAGGCCATCTGGGAAGTGAACCAGTGGATGGAAGAGTCTCTTTCTTTCTCTGACTCTTCCTTTTTCTCTGTAACTTTCAAATAAGTAAATAAATCTGGGGCAGGCGATGTGACCTAGCTGATAAAGCTGCTGCCTGTCGTGCTGACATCCCATATGGGTGCCGGTTCGAGTCCCCACAGCTCCACTTATGATGCACTTCTCTGCTATGGCCTAGGAAAGCTGTGGAAGATGGCCCAAGCCCTTGGGCCCTGCATCTACATGGGAGACCCAGATGTTGCTCTTGGCTCCTGGCTTCAGATTGGCGCAGCTCCAGCCATTGCAGCCATCTGGGGAGTGAACCAGAGGATGGAAGACCTCTCTCTCTCTCTCTCTCTCTCTCTCTCTTTCCCTCTCTCTGCCTCTATGTAACTCTGCCTTTCAAATAAATAAATAAATTTATTTTTATAAATAAAATTTTTATAAATAAAAATCTTATTTTTAAAAAAGAACATTTCTGAGTGAAACTGCATTTTATTTTTCTGGATGACTGGGAAGTGACAACTGTCATAATGACTCCTGGAGCAGTTTGATGCCAATGCCTTGATTTGCAGTTTTGCTCAGCACTGTGATTGCTCCATCAGCACAAATGTTGATACAATGAAAACCACAAATGATGCCTTCATGTGAGTATGCAAATGGTTTTGATTTGAAACCCCAAAAGTCTCAGATTCTCCGGCAGTCTGTGGCACACATTTTGAGAAACACTGAATTAAACTTCAAATATAAAAAAGAGGCCTTCTTCTCAAAATATTTCTAAATTGACTAGAGATCAATTTAGGTACATTTCTAAACATTTAAAGTTCTAGTGGAGAGGGAAAAAACTGAGCAGGAGACAATTTAAATGCATGTGTAAGAAGTACATTAAAAAAAATTCCAACAAAAGAAAATACAACAGGGAATACAACAGAAAAACAAATGGATTCCAGACTATGCACTCACCCCTTTAACTATTGTTTTCCATACCTGGTAGTTTATAGTCTTGAAATGGTTCTGTCATTGGATAACATCTACGTCCTTGGCTGGCGGTTGTTGGCCCTGGAAAGAACACTCTAGAATCTTCCCTTAGAGATCCAAGATCAATAAAGGACTTGCAGAGTCACCTTCCTTCTCCCAGGCCTTAACACTGTAAGTCTGTGTCAGTGATGGGGCATGGTTTCAAAAGGGTTCTTGCCCATCTGAAACTGGTCACATGCCATCTTTGTTTAGCCAATCATAGACCCGTGCTAAAAATAACAACTGGTCGATTGAGGTGTCATCTAACACGCCTGTGAGCACCACTATCATTATTCATGGCTCACTTCCAGAGAGCTGTGAGGACAGCATGTATCCCATCAGGTCTTACAGCTTCCAAAATGTAGAAAGGAAGCACTAGTATTCCCACTTTATACAAGAGTTATGTAACTTAACCAAAGCTTCATAGAAAGTTAGCAGTGAAAATATTGATGAAAGAACTTAGATATTGAATCATTTCAAGAAATTTCTTCTGTCTCATTTATATACCTTTGAGCTGCTGAAGAAAAAAAAAGAAAAATGTTCCCTATAGTCGTACATTTTAGAGTGTTCTTCACCTGTATAGTAAATGATTTTGTGATTACTTCCTAATGGCCAATGAAATAGTTAAGTATGGAACTGCTTCCATTATTGCAAGGCATGCTTGTAGGCACTGCTATGGTTTGAAAGCGTCTCCAAAAGCTCATGTGTTGGAAACTTAATCCTCAAAGCAATAAGGTGGAGTGACCGGACACTGAAAAGGTGATTAAGTCATGAGGGTTTGGCAAAATAAGTGAAATTATTCAAATAATGACAGGGACAGGTTGACAAAGTACAGAATTCAGTCTGAAGGGGCTCTCACTGACCAAATCTAAGACAATTTTAGTATCTTTATTATTTATTTATTTATTTATTTATTTTTTATTTTTTGACAGGCAGAGTGGACAGTGAGAGAGAGAGACAGAGAGAAAGGTCTTCCTTTGCCATTGGTTCACCCTCCAATGACCGCCGCGGCCGGCACACCGCGCTGATCCGAAGCCAGGAGCTGTTCTCTGGTCTGGTCCTTGAATTGGTCAACCTTGATGTTACTTGTTCTATCTGGCTTAGGTACCATGCTAGCACTCACCCTGGCAGTCAGTCCTGGCTATTTGCTTCTTGTCCCTTCTTTCTGCAACCAATTTAAGGCCAGGTTGCGATAAATTCTTCGGCCCTCTAAGCACCTCTGCATCTCCCCACTGACCACAGTTTTTTTTTTTAATATTTATTTATTTGAAAGACAAAGTTACAGAGAGAGATAGAGACAGAGGCAGAGAAGGGAAGTCTTCCATCAGCTGGTTCACTCCCCAGATGGCCTCAATGGCTGGAGCTGTGCCGATCTGAAGGCAGGTGCCAGGAGCTTCTTCCGGGTCTCCCACGCAGGTGCAGGGGCCCAAGGACTTGGGCCATCTCCCACTGCTTTCCCAGGCCATAGCAGAGAGCTGGATGGGAAGAGGAGCAGCTGGGACTAGAACCAGCACCCATATAAGATGCCAACGCTTTAGGCCAGAGCTTTAACCCGCTGCACCACAGCATCTGCCCCAGGCCTCAGTTTTATCTATCTAGATACCTTTCTTCCTCAAATGTACAACAATGTGCCTATATTATACTTGCTAAAGCCACATACATGGCTTTACCTGAAATTTCAATGCTTCCCTTTGCTATCACAGTCCCAACATTCTTAGGTTCTCATTTCTGTTTTTGTCTCTCTACTCACCTTGGATTTCCACCTGAAGAAGGAGCATGAGAAAGCATCCTACTTCCTTCCCCAACTCTGCTTCTCTCTTTCTCCCCACACTTCAGCAAATCAGCAAGAATTGTGTGTCCACCTGTATTGACTTACCTTACTTCATATCCTGATATTCTGAGGCAGCCGTCTTGTTTGATTTTTAAAAAGGAAGGAAGAGCATTTCTACACTATAAAAAGAATATAATGCTCTTGTCCAGGACTCACTCTGGAAGTGACAGTTCCTTGACAAAGATTATATTTCAAAAATTGTTGCCTTCTCTCAACTACAAAGTGATTTTGCTTAGGATTTTTAAAGATGCTTCTTTCTCTTACAAAATTTAAATTACAGGGGCTGGCACTGTGGCTCAGTGGATTAAAACCATGGTCTGCAGCACTAGCATCCCATATGGACTCTGGTCTGAGTCCCAGCGGCTCCACTTCTGATACAGCTCTTTGCTAATCACCTAGGAAAGCAGTAGAGGACGGTCCAAGTGCTTGGGACCCTGCACCCATATGCCAGACCCTGAAGAAGCTCCTGGACCCTGGCTTCAGCCTGGCCTACTCCTGGCTGTTGTGGCCATTTGGAGAGTGAACCAGCAATTGGAAGATCTCTCTCTATCTCTAGCTCTCTCTCTCTCTCTCTCTCTCTCTCTCATTCTCGTTCTCTGTAGCTCTGCCTTTTTTTCTTTCCTTTTTTTTTAAAGATTTATTTTATTAATTTGAAAGAGTTACAAAGAGAGGTAGAGACAGAGAGAAAGGTCTTCCATTCCACTGGTTCACTCCCCAAATGACTGCAACAGCCAGAGTTGAGCCAATCAGAAGCCAGGAGCCAGGAGCTTCTTGCAGGTCTCCCACGTGGGTGCAGGGGCCCAAGTACTTGGGCCATCTTCTACTGCTTTCCCAGGCCATAGCAGAGAGCTGGATCAAAAGTAGAACAGCCAGTACTTGAACTGTCCCCAACACGGGATGCCGGCGTTGCACGCTGGGGCTTTAACCTGCTGTGCCACAGTGCTGGCCTCAATTCTGTCTTTCAAATAAATAAACGTATCTTTTTAAAATTTTAAATTATAAAATTTAACCCAAGGCAAATGGCTTTCCTTGGCATGATAAGCGGTTGCTAATTCCTGAAAGGATGCAAAAGTAAAACCATCTTCATGCACATTTCAAATTATTATTTTATTTTCTTTCTATGACTTGAACAAGATTTGGATCCTAAACTCATGCAGACATTTAAACCAGAAAGTCATAATTTAATTGTACTAAGAGATTGGAAATGATTCAATCATGGTTTTTGGAAGGGGCCCAGTCAGAGGTGCTTAGGTAACTGGGACTATGCCCTGAGAAGGTGGTTCTGTTGAGAAGGTTGGTTATAAAAGTCAATTGAGCCCAACCACTCTCTCTGCTTCCTGACTAGCAGTATAATCCTTCCTCTGCCTAGTCTCCATGTTTTACCATTGCCACCTTCATCACACACCTATATGATGAGGCCACTAGATCTTGAACTTGAACTTCCAAAACTATGAGCTGAAATAAGCCTCTTCAAAACAAGCTTCGCTCATGTATTTTACTTTAGTATTTTTTAGTAATGAAAAGCTGACTAACACATATATATTTTTGTCACTCTTTGTTTCTCACAATATAGTGTTTTATAGAGAGCATACTATGTACTGAATTAAATCTGGCTAGTAATGCTATATGCCATTTTCTCCAAATTATAGAAGTTATTTGATCTTTGAGCATCTTTTTCTCTTCACCTTTTCTTAATTTCCTTATCCCAGCCGGGACCTTATCTGCACATCTCCTTTTGACTTACTTGCATCTAGACATCTGTGTCAACTGAAACTTATCCTTTGATGTGTCACTGCTATCGGAGAGAATTACAGTCAAGGAATTTACAAGTGTGTGTCCTGCTATAAAGTTCGTACATTCTTGAATTCTCAGAAACTTTTCTTGAATCATGAGCTATCCTTTGTTTTTCTTTCATGAAGCCAATAATGCACATTATTAGCTTTATAAAACTGTAAGTTCTCAATTCAAAAATCATGTTCATAGAGAATGCTTTAAACAGTTCTCACATGGTACAGACACCTCAATATGAGTTGACTTAATTTGCACCTTGGTTAAGCCCAAGGAAGAATAGGATAAGAAAACAAAACAGGGCTGACATTGATAATACCAGGGGTTTTTCCTTGACTAGGATCTTAAGTAACACTGAAAGAGTCTTCAGTGTGTATTTAAGAAGTTCTCATGATGAAATTGTACATGAGTTGTGGCCTTATCAGAATAGCTAAATGACACATCATTGTTCTCTTCATTATGTCATAGAGCAATTATGTCAGACACATTCAAATTATGAGGAAAGCTGAAATCACAGTTGCAATGGTATCTTCACATATATAAGGAAATATTTTATTAAATATTTAGTATTAAATTTCCAATGAGGAAAGAAAATGTCAAGTTAAACACTGTTTACAGAGTTTTTTTTTTTTAAGATTTACTTTATTTATTTGAAAGGCAGATTTACAGAGAGGCAGAGGCTGAGTGAGAGAAAGGTCTTCCATCTGCTGGTTCACTCCCCAGATGGCTGCAACGGCAGGAGCTGCGCTGATCTGAAGCCAGGAGCCAGGAGCTTCTTCTGGGTCACCCATGCAGGTGCAGGGGCCAAAGGACTTAGGCCATCTTCTACTGATTTTCTAGGCCATAGTAGAGAGCTGGATGGGAAGTGGAGCTGCAGGGACTTGAACTGGTACCCATATGGGATGTTGGCACTGCAGGTGGTGACTTTACCTGCTAGACCACAATGCCGGTCCTTGTTTACTGAGTTTCTATCATATGCTATTTGTCTCATTATAACTCTATTCCACACAAGAACACTCAAAATGTTATCATCCCTCTTTATATGAAGAAATCAATGCGCAAAGAGGGTCACAAATAAACTCAAAGTCCTATAGCTACCAAGCAGTAAGGCCAAGATTTTAACTTGCCAAGATTTGCTTTTTTCCACTCTACAATGGAAACTGTTAATGTGGGAATATGTTGCTATTTGGTGCTTTCTCTCTGTTCTAAAGTTTTCTATATGTGTCCTCTTCAAAACTTAAACAAATGCATGAAGGGTCAGTGACTGCTCATCTCTTTCATTCCTGTCTCCAGTCTTTCAGGTGCAAAGACTGTCGAATCCCAGCTAGTATAGGAGAACTCCCTCCGGATCTGTGTGGGCAACTTCCTGACAAGGGAGAGTTAACTCATTTTTTACTTCACCATCGTTTACTGAAAGGTAAGCTTTAAAAATTCTAATTATTCTCTTGTCTTAAAGAAAGGGCAGCTGCTGCCTGTGATGCCAGCATCCCATATGGGGGCCAGTTTGTGTACCAGCTGCTCTACTTTTTTTTTTTTTTA